ATTCATATTTTAAAAATAAAATTGTTATTAACATTATAGGTATATAGGTACCTAATTACACTTTTAGGTAGTTATCATTATTCAGAAATATATTTACTTTTAACACTTTTAACATTTTAAAGACCAAAGTACATTTTAATGTAACCTGTGACTAATTACTGTCATTGCTAGAAATATGTATTTGACTTTCAACAAAATATTATATTATAATTATCTGATTACCTGACATTTACTTTTGTAGATTTCACGTTTACAATTTATACATTTTGTCAAAATTCGAACTTTCAAAGCTTATAAAAAAAAATTTGCTTATGTGTATTTTACAAATTGTTCAACTAGTAAAGTAAAAATATAGCAGAAGCATCGTATTAAATGTTGACGCTTTTTGGCCCAACAAATGACAATTTATTGACAATTAAAGAAAAAAAAACTAAAAATATTTAAAATGTCCGTAAACAGCTCAAAACTGGTCAAGTATGGGAATTGATAAGTTGTTATATGAAATGCTTATAAGAAAACATTGTGACTGTATATTTAATATTTTTCAAGCTTTTTACCCAACAAATAAAATTTTATTGGCAATCATAGAAAAAAAACTAAAAAAAACTGAAAATGTATTATGTCCGTAAACAGCTCAAAACCTCTCAAAATATATTGATCTTGTGAATTTTATCGTGTACAGAAATTAATACTAATATAAACATTCAGTGAAAATTTCATGTACGTATCTACTGTTATTTGTTTTAGAGTTACACCAAAAACCAAAATTGATTTTGTTGAAAACTGATTTTGCTTAAAAATTCCCATTTTTACTTAGCTTTTACTTTGTTATTCTAGGCGCTTTTAAGACTGTTGGAATTTTAAATTTTGACCTTCTGAAAGAACCAACTGTATTCACTTTCCCATCGATTGAGATATATATGTAGACATATAGGTACTGCCATTGATTATATAATACAAAGATAAGCAATGCCATAGGAATATTCTTTGACTAGAATTATGGTTGAATTTATTTTCAAGAGATGTCGCCGTTGCATTTGTGACCACTATTAATTAATATATTGAATGATATCAATGGTATAACCTTTGATTACAATATAATATTATTAACCAGAATAGTTCTGCTTTTTCAGACGTAATGTTTTGGTGAACGAAGTAAGATCTACACCTTCCGTGACCATAAATCTAACCTGCAATGGTCCTAAGCCTAACTTGCAAGATACGCATGTTTCTACGTTGGACTCTGCTGCGATAGCCGTGAAGACGGCCCAACCCTGCAGACGGCGTTCTGATTCGACGGCCTCACTAGATGACAGGGATCTAGTTGAGGCCAAGAAACGTTTGAGCGCCGAAGGTCCACGGCTTACGACGCGGTTTTTTTCGACGCCTAACGTTCATGTGTCGTATTCCCCAGTCGTATGCGAAGTCTCGGTGGATGTGGCGACTGTCCCTGAAATGGGCAAACAAGCAGCGTGTGATGACACGGTACAAACTGAGACCCTGACGTTGCCAATTGTATGCGAAGTCTCGGTGGATGTGGTGACTATCCCTGAAATGAACATCCGAGCAGCGTGTGATGACAGGGTACAAACTGAGACCCTGACGATGCCAGTCGTATGCGAAGCATATGTGGGCCAGCCGGACACGGTTCAGGTAATAACCGGAAAAACGGTAAAGCCTAGATGCCGTTCGTTTTGGTCAAGCATTAAGAAAAGTGTTAGGCGTGCATTGTGCTGCGGATGTGTGTAGTACCAATAAGTGGCTCTTGTGGCTCTTGTTGCTTTGTATACGGTTTATGTACCATATATAGGTACCATCTACAACTCTTAAAAGTAATAATACTTAAATTTGTTATACATATTGTTTACCATTTGTTAATATTTTTGTTTTTGTTTTTTATATATTTTTCATTAATTGTTTATTTGATCCATTGTATTGTTTGTCGTTCGCTAACTTATAATTATTATGTCATATTGTTCAATGTATTACTAAAAAATATTGTATAATTATACTGTTGGGCTCCTAGCCCGTTCATAAATAAAATAAAATAAAAAAATATTAAAACTATAATATTGTTGTATATATTATGATTATACGTTTATATGAAAATTAATTAGCCTGATTAGTAATTAAGTACCTATATTGTAAATTGTAATGATTAACAAAAATAAATGTCTCTGTTGAATAGTTAAATTGGTTTCAATTTTATGTAATATTAATAAATGCCAAAACGCTATTGTAGAATTGAATAGATTCATTATGAAATGAAAAATGAGGGCTAGAGCTGAGTATGCTTGGCGAATCACTCTGTATACTTATTAAGTATTTTTTTATATAAAACCTATGGGTATTTTATGTCCAATAGCTATATTGGAACGTTTTTATTTTGTTTCACTGAAACAAAATAACATGAAAAACGGTTATATTTTTAGTTTGACTGTCGGTAATTTTAGGTTTGGAGTGATGAATGAAACCCTAAACATCATAAAAAACCTATAAATAATAATTTTAGAGTGTTCATAAATTATAATCACGGCCCACAAATTTTACCAGTGGATACATATTTTTCACTCTGTCCTAAGTGGTTAGACAGTTAAGAGTAGAATTTTTGGACGAAAAAGATATTGGCCCCCTCCTAGAAGACGATTCGAATCCGATACCAGTTAGTCCGTGCTACTTACAAATCAGGCAATGTTTACAAAATAGTATTATTAATTATTATCATTTATCACATTAGTATAATAATATAAGTAAATATAATATTATTAATTATTATAATATGAATACAATAATTCAAATCAATGTAAACGGTTCCTGCTTTATAAATGGCGGCCGACTTCAACATTCATGGTCACAACTGTGGTATAAGGACGGCTATCTAGTTGTATAATGTATCTATGGGAACCACATGCGCAGCGCAACTTACTTCCACCGAGCGAACTACCACCATGCTCCTACCATGCAAATTACCTTAGATCATAATATTGGTAAGCGGAAAAAATGACCACGGAAAAAAAACCCAAAATAAAAATCCAACGGAAAAAAAACCCAAAAATTAAAAAGACCCACGGAAAAAAAACCCACGAAAATAAAAGTGTGTTTTATATTATTTTGTTGATTAACTCAAATACCTATCATAATACAATCACATAGTTATTTTATTTTGTGATAAAACAGTACATAATAATCAAACTATAAATATAATAATTAACAAATGTCTTAAGTGATGATATCATCACAATCAAGCCCGGATTAAGGATCAATTGGGCCCCGGGACACCATACACTTAGTGGGCCCCCTTTCAACTTTAACTTCAAAATAATTGTATCATTACCTACATATTAACGACTTTATATTATTGTATAATTTTTTACTATAAAGGATCGATGATATGGAATTTCGTTAAGACAAAAAAAGACAATCGTTTCTTTATTTTTAATAGGCAATTTATTTTATAACATATCCAACATTTTTAAACACGCAGTTGTAAAAATAATAAAATCGACTTTATTTTTTCAAATGGTAACCACTATGTTTTTTATGGATTCCGCTAAAGCTTTTTTTCTAAACATTTTGACAGTCAAATGATCAATTTTGGTTAGCTAGGTTATTAACTATGATCTTCTAAAGTATGCATCAGTGACGATCGAAATTGGTCTTGGTCTTGCGGTCTCGCAAGACTCTTGGCTGCAAGACCAAGACCAAGATTAGGCTTGCAAGAACAAGACAAGACCATCACTGCAAAACTCTTGCGGTCTTGCAAATTTTTTTTTTTTCCGAAAACACATTACTGTATCTAGATTTCGTTAACTAATAATTCATAACGAAAATAAAAAGAATTTATTTGTATTGTAATGAAATTTGACCAGTGTTCGATGAAATGGAGAATTATTGAAAAAAAGATTAGAAATATAATGGGAATTTTTGCTTATTGTATTTTTTTTTAATTACAGATTGTATAAACTAGATTAAAAATAAAAAATATTATATAATAATTATATTAAATATAGATGTATTAACATTTATTTTTAATTTTAATTTTTTCGGAGGGCTTTTTTTCTGTGGGTTTTTTTTCCATGGGCTATTTTTCCTTGGTAATTTCTTTTCTATGGGTTTTTTTTTCCGTGGGATTTTTTTCTGTGGGTTTTTTTTTCCGTGGGTTTTTTTTCCGTGGGCATTTTTTCCATGATTCCATAATATTATACCGTCTAGCCGTCTAGGATCATAGACCTATAAACTAAGTTTATAGGTTTATGACTAATAGGATCCTCGATTATAAAGAACCTCTTTTTAATAGTGCTAGGATCTAAGGGAATTACACAACAACGATGATACACTGACACCTTGCACCACGCGTATTTAGATGACACATGGATGGCACTATCACGCACTATCTTAGTTCGTGGTTAACACCACGGACTAAGATATACAGGACTGGACACGAGATGAATATTGTGGTTACGAAATGTTTTACAACAGGCGGAGTTCGGGGGGATATTTTCCTTTTAGCATTACTAGCGCCGTCTTAGTGGATACTTATGGAACTAGAAATTTGTATGATGTGTTCTAGTTCCATAAGTATCCACTAGGACGGCGCTAGTAATGCTAAAAGGAAAATATCCCCCCGAACACTGCCTGTTGTAAAACATTTCGTAGTCAACCCCCCCACACCCTCCAACCTTGTCGTGTCCAGTCCTGTATATCTTAGTCCGTGGTTAACACGTATCGGTAACGTGATAAACGATAACTGATAAATGATAATGAAGTTTAAAACATTTCGTTTAATTTTTAGGAGTTTAGAAAACTGTAGAAATAGAGAAATAGAATTATAGAAAGCTTTTAATTATTTTTTAATTAACTACATGCTAGTAACTAAAAAAAAAAAAAATGTGTTGGTAATTTAACATAAGATTTTTGTTTGTGAAAGTCAAACAACACATTTTACAATAGTAATATTATGATATTAAGTTAAATTATTTAAAATTATTGTTTATATTGTTATGGCTGAAGAAATAGAACATTTTTACGGAGTATACCTACTATATTGCCTGAATGAAAAGAGCAAAGGAAAAACTTACATTGGCTATACCAAGGATCCAAATCGCCGAATAAAACAACACAACAAAGGTGTCAAAAGCGGAGGAGCCAGAAAAACCAGTCTTCGTGGGCCATGGTACCATATTGATTAGATTACAATTAAATATTAATGTCAAACAATAAACATTTAAAATATTAAAATAGTTTAATCAGTACTAATCTGCCTGTAGGGAAATGGTTTTGATAGTACACGGATTTCCCAACGATATATCAGCATTAAGAGTATGAATAGTATGATGTAAGTCTTTGAAATTCAAGAATTTAACGATAACATATTTATTTTTTTTTCAGTTTGAATGGGCATGGCAAAATCCCAAGACATCCAGACGATTGAAACACATACCACAAAAATCGAGAAGTGAAAAAGCATATGACTATTGTATTCGCATACTTTCGGAAATGCTGCATGTAGGTCCATGGAATCGTCTAGCTTTAAATGTCCGGTGGCTGAACCTGCATTATCGAATCGACTTCAGTGTAAGTGAACCGTCATAAATCATATAAATAACTGATTTAGTATCAAATGTTATATTACAATATAATTTCAACAGGATGATAAATTTCCACCGATGCACATGTCTATATGTCAAGGACCAGTTGTATGTAAGAAACCTGTGTCACCAAATGATATTAGCTCTTTGGACAGCAGTAAAAGTCAAATATGTGTTTTGTGTGCACGTAATTGTTGTGCAGAAAGTTTACTAAATTGTTTAGATCCCGATTGTCAAGCAGTTACACATGTTCAGTGTCTTGCCAAGCGGTTCTTAGGATCATCTGATCATATTATACCAATAGATGGTGAATGTCCAGCATGTGGCATCCGTGTTCTATGGGGTGATTTAATTCGGCGAAAAAATGGATGCTATAAAAATTTAATTGCTGCCGGTACATAATTATTAAACAACTTATTTATTATACCATTGATTATGGTTTGTGTTCCTCTTTAATGTGAAGTGTATTTTAAATATATATATGTATATTTTTTTTTTTTACAGATTATTGATTTTTCTAAATATTTTAGATGTAACATTATATTTCATTACTAGGTAAAAAAAAAAATTATTTAGGTATTATTATATTATAAAATTGTTGACATAATATTTTAAAATTAAATTTTTTGAAGACATAATTTTCTTAGTTCTTTAAAAACCTTAATTCTTAATAATAACCTTGGATTTAAATTTCTTTAGTGGTATTGTGATAATTTGAAAGCATCATAAGAGTATCCAGTATAGATCTGGGCTACAACTACAGCTCCCCTAAATTTCAAACACTATTTGCGCCTATGAAAATCTATAAAAAAATCTGATGAATTCATTAAATTTGAAAGAGTTGTGCAAGAATGTGCGATTTATCTTAATTTACCGATTTTGAAGATATATTAATTAGTTGGTTTTCTCTACAATATTAAAAATAATATTTCTTATAATAGACCAATACTTCAAGAAAAATTAGATGAATTGAAAAGTAAAAAATAAAATACATAAATTGAGTCAGTATCCAAAGTAATGCCATTTTGAGAAGATTAATTAAAAAAGTGTGTCCTGCTTTGGAATATATACCTAAATAAGGGAATAGGAAATAATACTAGAGATGTAAGCTTAAAATTTAATTTTTCATTGAGACTTACTGAAAATTGTTTTTTTTATGTTGTGCGATTGGTATGTTAGTTAAATGTTAATTATTTAATTAGGAATTAAGCGACTGAATATTAAATAAAATGTATAATACCTACCTACAATCTATATGTTAAAAATAAAACATTTATGAATTATAAATAGTTCTGACTTGTGGTAAAACTAGATAACATTTCATTTTAACTACTCATAATAAAGTTTGTGGAAAATTTTGGAAACAACTCAAACAATAAATATCAACTAATATCAAAATTAAAAAAAAAAGGAAAAATCAATAAATGCAGGAAATTGTTTACTTTATACACTCATAATTTATCCTGAAGTAAAAATACCAAATTTTAACAGCAGATTAAAATGCAAATTTATTACCAAGAAAAATTTATCTGTATTTTGGATTTCCTATATTAAGTTTAATGTAGGTACTTACCTACTATTAAAATAATATTAAAATGGGTAAATGGTAATACAAGTACACAGTTTTAAATATTATTATGTAGGTTAAATATATTATAAATTTATAACTTTATATTATCAAGGGATTTATTTGATAAGAAATGGAATGATAGGTATGATAAATTATAAATTTTCATAACAAAACATTTTTATGAAACTCGCATCACTAGGGAATACTCAATGGTAATGTAACATCATTGTTTTCCAAATTACCACAAGATATGTATAAAATTTGTATTTTTGTAATTTCATTCAATTTTTACAAATTTTTAATATTTTTGATAACCATTCTGATTTTCAAATATTAAATTTTTTTTTTTTCTAATTTAATTCTATATAAATATAATAATAATGAAAAACTGTTTGTTGGTAAGGGCCAGTTGTACCATCTATGATTATGGTTAATCAGAGCTTAATCGGCCAAATTTGCAAGTATAAATATCTGTTATCAGCTGATTAAGCTTAATCATAGTTTAATCATAGACGGTACAACTAGCCCTAAGCGCATCAATTCTCTTCGAGCTTGTAATTTTCATCGTAGGTATATATAAAAAAAAAAAATAGATTTAAATCACAAAATGTTTAATACAAATATCATATATATATATATAATATTATACAATATTATATCATAGTAATAATAATAATAATAATAATATTTTAACATCACAGAACATATTAATCATGTCTTAATATAATATACATTTTGTAAAAAAAATACATATACCATATTAAAACAATCACAACCATAACCTGAGGTTATTATTATAAAATATAGTATAATAAAATAGTTCACAGTTATTAAACAATAAATAATCAACACTATACTTGGATCTTCTAATAACATTATCATTATAACTACAATAAAAAACAATTTGATAAAATTAAAATAGTAAGTATTCCAAAACGACTAATAATGGGCACACAGATTTGGTGAAACAACACTAGACATAGTATAAACATTGCATAATAAATACATTTTTTAAAAAAATAACTTGTAATATTGTTTTATTGCGCACAATACACATACCCTATTAAATTGTTTAGTGTAGTTGAATAAACACAAATGAAAAACATTCAAGGCTTCTCACTAGTAAACAATAAAACAATAGTACCTACCTATACTACCTACTTAACACATAATAATAATCAACCAGTACAAATCACAACATTTTTAAGAACATGTGTTTCATTTATAAATACATATATAATACAAATGGTGAATTGCAAAGAGTTGACAACTTTACGTTAAAATTGCATTAAAAAATGTCAAATCACTGTGATACACTAATTTAGGTGTACATGTATCAATCATTACATTACATTTTAATAGTAAGTATAAAACTATTACAATACAAAAAAACATTTAATTTTTAGTTTATTTTCAGTAGAATATAATATTATATTCTTTAGTAATTAATATCACATCTGAGATTGAGTTACATTTGCTTATACCTTGAAATAACATAAAGAATAGTGAAGTATATTTATATCAAAATATAAATAGAACAAATTTAAAATATGATTTATGTGAAAACAAACCGAGAACAAAGTATTTATTGATAAAAATAAGATACCGGATAATAAATTACTGTTGTCGAGAAATGAAATGAAAATTTACCCTGTATAGTATCATAAGACTCAATAAATTATAAAATATTAAAATATTAACCATTGGGCATTGAACATATTTGGTGTTAACTATTTTCAGGTTAACATAATATAAAATATAACAATGAATTGTTTAGTATAAATAAATAAAAATGTTGCAGACTTAAATGACAGGGGCAATAATTTTTTAGATGTTACTGATAATTTGCTTCAGAAATTTGTTTAATTCATAATTTGCTTGTAGAATGTTTCAAATCTTCAGTCACTTCAATACCTTTAAAGATTTGAAACATTAACAAATATTTTTTCTTATTTTACTCTTATTCATATAATGTATATTTTATTTAGGTTTAAAAAATTGAGCATTATAAACATTGTAAACAGCTGAGGTCAATTTTTTTTTACTTTAGAACTGTTACCTTGTTCTAATTGTAAGTCAAAATTGGGGATTTTCTCTTCAGGTTTTAGAAAATCTTCCATTGTCTTATCTAGTTCAGGGAATAACCTAGTATAAATGAAATATGCTACATCATAGTTTGACCAATATGACGTATGTGTATACAACATTGACAAATAATTACTGGCCGATCCTCCGATACTATCTCTCAAAATATAATCTAACCGGTGATTCAAATCTAGACATAATATTTAATATTTCACATTAGATATTATTATATTAATTCATAATAAATATAAATAAATAAATAAATGACATACTTTCAACTGGAGTACTATTTCTTGATAGTGGGCAGGTATTAACTTCAAACTGATTTGAACTATTGGCTTTACTATCATTGCTGCTTGACATATTAAGCCAAGTACTTATTCTACGACTAAATGTTTCATTTTCTTTTTTTACATCTGGGGCTTTAGCTTCAGTTCCATTCGTCTCTTCGAAGGTAGTATCTATGTTTCCAATTAGTTCTAAAGGAACTTCAGAGTAATCGCATTTGATACCATAGGCCTGAATACCAACAGGTTTATAGCGACAATAATCTTTCGCAACTAATGGTTCAAACCTGAGATAATAAAATATTAAACATTCTCACTCTCACAAATGTCAAATATACATAACTCAATAACTAATATTATAAATAAAGTGTACCTGTAAGCAACAGGGTCTGTAGGATGGTAAATGTTATATACTTTTTTGGCCAACCACATTGGGAACAAGTTTAAGTTTTCTTTGAATATTTCATTTTGACGTAATGCCAAAAACACTGACAATGGTGAACCCAAACAGAAGAAATTCTCCAACTAAATATTAATACAGAAGATTAACAATTTATATACAATGATACAATATTTACAATTATTTATAATATAATTATATAATATAACATACCTCAAAATTTAAATGTATTCTTGGACTACTGTCACTCCGTTTAATCTGGAATCAATGTAATATAATATTAAATATGTATAGACAATAAGAACAAATATTTAATATTACTCACAAATGGTTCCCATCCGGTTATAATATCATATGAAATTACACTACCCAAAGAGTGTGCCATTATCGACACTTTAAAGTCATGGTGTGGGTGCCGTTCTACAAATTCTGAATGTAGCCTATTCAGCTCGTTTGCCAAACTGTTTTGTATTTCTCGACCATATATAGGAGAAGTGTAGTACATGATATCCATAGCTGATGAATTTAATATTTGCCGTATATTTTTTAAATTTAATGGTGTTATCTGTTCAACTAACCCTGCGTTCAAAAGAAATGTAGAAGATAATTATACTGTATAATGTTTCATTGTTTTTATTGTTTGAAATACATTACCTCCGTCAAAACTACACTGTGATCTCCAGTCCACAGGAAAAAACTCTGCCCTTTGTTCAGTACCTTGGAAATATTTATGTTTGATCCATTTGACGCAATCACGAAATCTAAATTAAACATAATAGCAATGTAAAAATATTAAACAATAAACACGTGATAATTATTTCATAGTAGGTAATATTGCAAACTATACTTACTGTGAAGTATTTTTTATTATTTTTTTATTATCTATTTTATGACCAATTCCATGAATCAAAAATACAAGATGAGTTATATCATTCAGTTTGTCCTTTTCATTGGCATCAGTTTTGTATGACCTGATCAGTTTGTATCCAGCGGCTAAGAAAATCATAAAATGTTAAATAATACAATTATTATTATTATTTATACACATTTTTTGCACAATATAATCTAAATAATGTGGATGAAATGAAAAATTATAATTTGGTGACAAATGAATAGCCAAACATATTAGCTTCAAACTTTTTAAGAGTAAAATTCAGAATCTGTGCTTACCATATTTTTATGAAATTAGCAAACTTACCTATTCCGTTGAATAAAAACCTCAATTTAAATTTCACAAAAGTTTTTAGTTTTAAGTTATTTATACAATTATAGAAAACTTACATTTTTGGAAATAAGTTCCTAATTTTTTTGTAACGCTTCTCATAATTTTTGTGTTGATAAAAGTCTTTTGTTTAAATGAATACACCTCAGCCGATGAATACCATACTACATGCATGTCCCCAATAGTAACATCTCTTAATACTGTAAAAACAATTGTATTTTATTAAATACATTTTTTTATTAAACTTCAATATATACATATTTGGTTAAATAGCAAAAAACCATTAATACCTGACTTTCCATTGTCTTCGGTGTCTTCAACTTTTCTGGTATCATCTCTGAATAGATTTAGATGTTCCCTTTCAACTTCCTCTCCATATTCATATGGTTCATATCCATCATAAAACCAAACGCCACGAAAAATTTCACTCTCTTCGCCTTTTTAAAAACAATAATATGAGTATAAAGAAATCCACATTGTATAATATATATATATATATATATATATATACACTTACCAGGCCAAAATATAGATGTACACTTTTTTTTTGATAAGTCTACCTCATAAAGACCTCCTCTCACCACAACAGTATAGAGCCCAAGAAAATAATTAAAGGACCCATTCAAACTAGATACATCCTCTTCGTTGCCAAAGTTCGCCCTGTACCTGTACTCTATATTTAATGAATCAAAACCATCAAACTTGGTCCATCTTTTGAGATCACTCTTGTAAAACCATCTGACTTTTTCAGGGCCTAGTGGTTCAAATGTTATTGCAGTACCGTTGGTTTGAGTATTTGACACATTACTCTCATCCTGTGCGTCTTCAGAAATCAATACCGGTTCTTCTGTTTGCAAAAAATTTGTATCCATATTGTTCATTGCTGGTGCATAACTAAAACATTTTGAACAGTGTCGTGAATGCATGTTACAATATAAACAAAAAAAAATGTGCTTGCTTAGATTTAATTAACTGATGATGTAACCAGTTAAACAAATAACAATGGACGAATAATAAAAATGATTCACCTTAACGTGTGAAAATGAACGGCTTTTATTGATTGTTAAAAATAAAACTGCACAAAATCAGTTGTCGGAGATCACGGAACAGCTACTAAAAGTTAAAACGTTTTAAAACTAGTGTAGAATGTTACTTTGCTTAATTAAATCAAAACGATCTATGTTGAACGTTTGGATTTTTTAATGTTTAAAAAATGTCCACTCTTATCTACGTTATCAGGTCTAGTGTCATGCGGTTATCACTTCTAACAATCGTTTCGAATGATAACAAAATTGATAAATTTGATCGTTTTTAAAATAAAAACTAAAAAGGCGTTTGGTTTTCATGTTTAATAATAATTAAAAAATAGTCACCCGTTCTATAATCGTAGTTCTGATAATTTGATGTTTCTATAGAGTTCGATATACAATTATTGTCTGTCATCCGGTTCCATGATGTTTGGTAATTTGAGAGAAAAATTGCACAACGTCGTTCAAGAAGGACTGTCAGCAAGGTAAATGTTACTAAAAAAAAAAAACATTAAATAAGAAATCGAAAAGACGCTGTTTCATTACAACAATATTGTGATGTTAATTGAACAATTTATTTATTCACTATAATGCAGAAAAAGTAATGCACCCCAAGGTTGTTTTGTTTCACAAATGGCCGTTCGCTGAAACGTTGTTAAAATATTTATTGTCAGTGTATTAGATTTTGCACCTACTTTTCTCGAGAAGTTAAATTCCACGTATTGATGAAATGCAATAAATCCTGCTTTAAATCGATTTGATAGTGTTTATAATTATTATTTATTATACCTACCTAACTATAAACATCTTTTACTTTGATTTTTGTGTTATCTACCTATTAGGGTTATAATTTATAATATTAGATAATAATTATTAGATATTTACTTGAGGTTTATTGGAAATAATAAGGGACTATGTGTGAATAACTTGATGTATTTGTATTACATTTTAACTAATAGTAAGCATAAGACTGAAATGTGTCCTTTTTTAACAGATCTATTATAGGTAGGTACTCCGATATATAATATATTAATATTATATTCTAATATATATTCAAACTACAAATAACCTATGTACTATATTAAAAAAACTTATTCTCATAACTTATTAGTATAATTTACTATTACTGTTCAGGGTCACTTATATTGTTGATTTTTTTGTTCCTACACTAAACCATTTGTCTTATCTAAATTAAATATAGTAAAATCTTTTATCTTATCCTAATGTACTAAAATTTTATTTGTATTTGATATTATATTAAAAAAAACTATTTAGTACTTATATGTTAGTATTGGTTTTTACTAAATTGTATTTCTCATAAATGTCATTATGTCATTTTTTCATTATTTCCCACTATGTAACCAAAGTAGGTAGATTGTGGATTATTTATATATTTTAAAATAAAAAATAACATTTTTCTTTAATTAGTTTCAACCTCTGCAAAATATTAGTTTCTATTATAAATAATATGTATTAAGCAAAAACTCACTTACCTACTAAAGAAACTGAAATGTTGGGAAATAAAATAAAATACATTTTTTGCAATAGTTATTTACATTTTATTATTATTTAACCGTACAATGAGACCATTGGTCAATAATTGGTCAATTAAAGATAATATTATTACCTATTATCTATTAGTTGTAGTTCATACTTCCCTCGGATTTATTGTATTCATTGTTTCAATATGTATTACAAAGATTTTTATGGAATTTTTAATCTTTTTCTTTCTTTAATATATTTATCATGAAATTATGTAATTTTTTTTTTAAGTATTGTAATAGATACTTTATACCAGGTAGGTACTATAAAAATGTATTGAAATCAAAATAAAATATAAATATAAAATTAAAAAATTGTATTTAGTGAATAAAGTTATCTGATCTTTGTTCTTTGACCCATATATTAGTGCAAGTATACTATAGGTTAAATACAATTATGAAATTTATATAATAATATTTTAATCAGCTATTAGATGATTAAGTAACTACCTATTTAATAAAAAAAAAATGAATTGATTATATAATAGTTTTCATTATAAATAAGTAAAGTAGAGTGAATTTTTTTTCATATTTTCATACTTCTATTTAATTGTAAATATCCGTTAACTGGGGGAGATAGAATAATGCGTTTTTGTTTTCGGGTAGCTCAGTGGTAGAGCTACAAAGCATGCTAGAGACTTAGGTTCGATTCCGGTCCGGCAGCTTGCTTTTTGACATTATTTCCCCGGTAGAAGTGAACATAAATATATCTTAGACTTAAACCATCCCTGAAAATAAAATAAAATGTTGTTGTCTTATGTAGTACACTAGTACTCTTAAAATATTAATAGCTTTCAAATACTTTTTACTACATGCTGAGTGAAGTTTTTGTTATTTGAATACAATATGTCACTCTCTACTTATTTCAAACCACAACTCACTACTGATTGTATGCCAATAAAACACATTTTATATTTAAATAATATAGTAAAATAGTATATATACCTAGGTCTTAGATTATAATTAAATTGATAAACAGTGCCTACATTATTTTATAGGTAGGTAGGTACTTCAATAAAATATTATTAACAAAAAATAATTTCTATTGCCTCCTTTTAAATTTACAATAATAAAAGACTACCTATAGTCATAAAAATTACATACATTTATAAATTTATGATGAGCAGTTGGAATATAATTATTAATGAGGAACATATTATTCATTCAAATACTTAGCACCTAATAAATTATCTTATCTTAATGTGAGTCAACAATATAATAATAATAATAATGTTTGAGTAGTTTTGTGTTTCATTAAATTGTATATTAACTGTTCAACAAGTTTTTAACTAATGACTATTTTATAACTCTTATAAGATGGAAAAAGAATTTAAGTAAACTGATTCTAAGACAATATCTAATGTTGTCAATACTTACATGACCACGTGCGATTACAAAAAATAATCACCTTGCCACTCATCTTTTAAAGTTCACACATGTTAATGGTAACCCTATGCCTCCCAAAGAGCGGATAAGAACTCTGTAGACATCTCAAAAATAAACTTTTGTATGTTTTTTAGTTCTTTTTCTTGTCTGAGGGTTTTCAAATTTTTGTTGCTTTTTTTTTGTTTCGTTATTTTTTCGTATGTCTGACCTCAATATTTGCTTAAAGTCTTAACCTTAATGATTGTTACTGGTAGAAATTTATTTGGTTGGTACAGTGAAGGATTTCTTCAGTACTTTTCTCAATATTTGGAAAACTGACCAAAAGCTAAAGAAGAAAAATAGTATAGCTCTTCTAAGACAACACCACACATTTTCAACAAATGTAGTAAGGTATTATCATTTTTTAAATATTGTGGCTCGTTTACTATAGGAATGTCTTGAATTTTTTTTCAATTTTATATTTGAGCATTTGTATTCTTTTTCACAACAGAAACGAAGGATGGGAACAAGTTCCTTTTTTACAACAGGAACGAGGAACGGGAATGAGTTCCTTTTTAAAAGGAACTTTAAAAGTCTTATAGACACTATAAAATATTATGTTTAAAACACCCGCACTAATTCTTGTTTTCATATACCACACTGGTCATCCAATTATTTAAGAAATAAGCCTCTCAGGATGATGAGAATCGCCACTGAAGATCCGTCATTCTTCTTCTAAATTATTTTGTTTAATGTAAAGTATTTAATTTTAATTTTTGTTATTTATTAATACTTAATAGTATGCGTCTGTATATTTGCCCCGTAATTATTATAAATAAATAATTAGCTTTCAGTTTACACTATTGAAGAAATAAATAATATAATATAACATAATGACAATTCATTTTAAGATATTGATAAATCATTGAAATATTGAAATAATAAGAATAATTCATATTAATTTGAAATTAGTTGGTTATTTGTATTACCTAACAGTGTGTTCCAGAAGTCCCGTATCACCCTTAGTATCTCCGTGGAAAATCAATATTTTTAAATGCAGTTTTTTTACAAAGATCATTATGGAAATTCTAATTGAATAGCATAATATTCGATTTTTTTTTTTTCAAAAACTCAAAAACTATGAAAAATTTCTTTAGGCAAATAAGTTTTTTAAAACAATTAAAAAAAAATATTAAAATTTAATGAAAATCGTTAGAACTATTTATTATTTTTAATTTTAGCCGAAAAATCAGGGTGATTGTAATAATTAACATGCGAATCGTATTTTGCTAATGTCGTATGCATCTTAGAAATTTAAAAGAATAATTAGCTCTAACTTGGGCAGTTTTCCTCAACTGTTTTAATAAATACAATCAACAAAATGGCCATCTTGGAAATTTAAAAAACTTATTTGCCTAAAAAAATTTTTTGATAATTTTTGAATTTATGAAAAAAAAATCGAATGTTATGCCATTCAATCAGAATTTCCATACTTATCATTGTAAAAAACTGCATTTAAAAATATTAATTTTCCATGGAGATACTAGGGTGATACGGGACTTCTGAGACCTACTGTATAGTATATTATATTTTATATTATATCATCTTAAAAAAAATATTTATATTTGATTTTGATTTTTAAACTTCAGGTATATTACAATAATGGAATGGTAATTTACTTTTATTGTGCTTTAAATTTATTGCTATGCATACAAATGTTTATATTTATTTAAATACATTGAAAAAATTGAGGAGCCATTATTTGGCATAATACCATATTATGGTAGTTTGTAATGCATTGTGATATTAATAAATGTTTTCTCTAATTAACTGATTTTCGTATAAATCAATAAAAAATATACTATTGTGAATATTGTATTTGTTTACTGATGGGCTTGCCAAAATTATATACAATGACATTGTAATTATTTAGATACACTCATTATAGATAGGTACCTATAGTATAGTTAAATTAATTCAGAACTATATTATTAACATTAAAGAAATATTAATAAAATATCAATAGACTCCAACCATTCATTATTACAATACATATTTTAGTAATATAATACAATGTATAATTTTGAAATTTTAATCAATATTTTTAGTTCCTTTCTAAGATTTCTATGATATAATTACCTACAGAACAAAATACAAAGTATACAAATAGTTGTGTCTCATCTGTTATAAGGTGGGTTGGCACTTTGGCAAAAAATACATGACTAACTATAATATTATATTATTATAATAAAATATTTATAACTTTATTTATATTTTAATCCAAGTATTTTTGCCAACCAAGAAAATAATGACACAAATTATTTTTCAATTTTAGTGTAGAAACTAAAAATGTATTTGTATGTACATCATTTTTAATTCAAATTTGTATTATTATTTATGCACATATATTATGGGTCAACAATAAATAAGACTACAAAAATAATATAATGTTCATAATAGTTAATAAATATGTACCGAAATATCTAATTAAGTTGCGCAAAAGAAAAAACTCAAAACCAAATAATCTAAATATAAAATACATAGATATCCCAGTGTACTAAATACTTTATAGAAAACAAAATTGAAAAAAAATAAGTTTTAGTTTTCGATACACTATTAAAATGCCTTGAATTAAGAGAATGTCAACATAACGTGTGCCTATATCATTCAGACCTTTTGTCTTTTTACCAAGATGGGAACCTGTACTTTTATATTTTCTATAATATATTATTAAAAATACATATACTTTGTTTAATTTAATATAAACTAGTAACTATTATATTAGTACCAAATTACCTAATAAAATAATGCTTAAGTTGCCCAGGCTTACCTACTTTTTTCTAAATTTGTTTTTAAAAATCTAAGCCACTGAAGTTATATTAAAAAAATTAACAGTTAGTCTATGCATACGGCTCTAATAGAATAATGAATAATAGTTGATTTATTGTATAGCATTATCGTATCTGTAATTATGCAATTAAAGTTTTGTCGCATGACATTGATTTACCATTAATTTATATTTAATTAAACATAAACAATAACAAAACCTGACAATTTTTAGTCTCAATAATTCTCATAATTAGTCTCGTGACATATTTTTAATGCCATTTGACAATTTTAAACCAACTGAAACTGTTTCTGACCACAATTTTTTTTTTATAAATAACTAATATGGTTTTTATTAATACCATTTTTTAATGGTAAAAATAAAATAAATTAAATTTTGATGTTTTTGTGAAATAAAATAAGTTGATTTAATTTTACGTTTATTTGATGTTGTTTTATTAAATTTGTGTGTAGGTATGTACGTATAAATATTCTGTTAATTCGGGCCTACCTATCCAGAAAAAAAATTCTACCTTCACCGCTGATTTTTAGTTGTTATATCAATTGTTAAGCCAATATAACGTTTTTATGTATTTTATTATTTTTGTTTCTAGCTTAAGAGGATTGTCTGTGAATGAAGTTATTGTTGCACAGTCTCCTAGTGAACATCCTGTTAATTATGATGCTGGTGCGGATCTATTGCATAAATATCAGACTGAATGGAATCAGCTGCACTTATTAGCCGAAGACAATGCCCATAAAGCTGAGGTTTAGCATATTACAAAATAAAAAGTTATTTATTAAAATTTAAATATTTTGTTAAAATTAAATTACAGGAAGTCAATGAAATGATTAGTCTTCTACATCATCAAATGAGTGAACAGTGGAAAAAAATGGATACAATCACATCGTGCATGGATTCAATGCCACAATTAGTAAAGAGTATTGAAAATGCCATGAAAGACATGGGTAATTGTTTTCTATAAAATTATTAGTTATCAATAATAATAAACTGTACCTTTTCACAAAATACATGTCTAATTTTAGAAAACATTAAATTATTGATAAATGATGTGGAACACCAGCTGTTGAAGCTAGATGATGTAGTCGAGGAACAGGAACTTCAAGAACAGATGTTGAACGAGCGGTTTCAATTGGCTGTTTACCGATCAAAAAAACTTAAAGAATTAGAAAAAATTAGTGGTACAATCAATTGTGTTGATGTAGTTATTTGTACATAGTTTATTAAAAATGTTATGATTTAGGTGAGTTAGAAGCTGATCACAAAGAGAAAGTAACAGATTTAGAACAAAAGATAAACATCAAACTCAAAGAAAGACAGGAAATTTTCAACCAAGTATTTCAACAAGATATGCGACAGTATATTATATCAGGCATGATTCCCGTGATGAAGAGTTCAAGTGGGTGAAATATAAGTTATAATATTTAATAATATTATACATTTATATACAACCGGGTATCAAGATACCTTAATGACTGTGATTGTTATATAGGCAATGGTGGACGTGATGAAGTTTCACTTGAAGACATCGAAATAGAGGACGACACAGATGCACTAGACGAACTTCTAAATTCTTGACGGTTGGTTTTGTACTTGAATGTTATTGTTTAAAGAGTGATATATTTTTTTTAAGAGGTTTGTCTTCCATGATGTCAGTTTAACTGTGATCTGTTATTGAATGTTGTTTAAAAAAAAATTATTTTTTAATTGTATATTATTGACATATTTATTATTAAAATTATGCATACGTGTTGTAATTATGTACCACAATAATCAAAATGTATTTACAATTATAAATTACAGCATTCCACTTTTATACTCACCGGTTTTATAATTTTGTAACTTAGGTAGATCACTGTGATCACTTATTCACTCCTACACAGCACTTATTAGAATATATTCTATAAACGAATCACAATGGTATTAATTATTAAACTAAAATATGTTTTAAACATTATAATACAGCATACTTCTTACTTCTAAGTAATTCAGTTTCTTAAATATAATATTATAACTTATAAGTTATGATTTTACCACATAATTTGATATACTTTTAGACTCAGAATTCAGTTGTCTTAGACAGTAGGTCAGGGTTCAGATGTGGATGCCATTAAAACCTATAAAAATGCCCTAAAAAAATTAGGTGTTTTACCTAAATAATTAAAATTGTTAACATTTCTATGATAATTATTGTTGAATTTTAAATTAATATTTATAATAACATTCTACATATATTTAATAAACATACTTATTTTGACTTAAGTTTGAATTTCAAAACTGGTTTTCATTTAACAATTTCAAAATGTTGTTATTGATATTTTATGTAATAGATAGGTAAAATTTAACAAATTAATTGTATTGATTAATAAACACAATTATTTAACATTAAGATATCAATAATTTTTGATCATAATGTCAGAGAATCTTCAAAAAATAAATATGCTATACCAGGGGGAGTCCGGATCTAGGGTCCACCCCTCTGGGTGCTCTCATTTCTCAATGAGGGCAAACGAAAAATTATCGAAAAAGCGGCAATTAAAAATAAAACAAAAATATTTCATTAATATTATGTTGTGCTGGTGTTGGTCACCAAAATTTAAATATTTTCCAAAATGGGTCGTTCACCCTATGTTTTTTTTTCCCAAAGTTTGGGAACTTTTACAGTATACTACATTACTATCCTTGCAGTTGATTTGTTGATTATTAAATTTTAATAACATTTAAACCTGGTGTCAAAATAACATGGAACACACAATATGTTTTAGGACTTTAGGTACATACCTAGTTACCCTATGGCCTATAATAATTATTATTCATACTTACTTCACATAATAGGCTATAGCTTATAGGCACCTAATGGCTAATATATAATTATCATACTAAAAAACATAAACATCTCATAATAAACGAGGTATATTTAAAGTTTAAATTTTAAAGATTTAGATTTAGCATATACGGACTAGGTACCACTAGTATGTATACTTTGACACGTTTTGGTATAGCATGTAGGTATACAACAATTATTGTTTCGATTGTTTGAAGTAACAATTATGTTTATATTTATGTGGAAATAATATATCATACATATTTCAAGTATAATATAATTTCATAAAATAACTGAACTATACGGGAATTTAGTTAATAATATAATTTAAATTACTATTAGTTCCGTATAGGTACTAATATATTAGATAACTGATAAGTAGATGAGTAGATGCGATGCCTTATCCATATTTTATAGCAATTATTAGCAGCTACCTGATTATATTATGTACAATGCACACAAGTAAAGTTATATTTAATATATATCTAGTAAAATGCGTCACGTAAAGTTTGTAAAAAGTAAAAACACCAATTTTCCGTCTATATTATGGCATTGATTATAGCTATATTTCACTGTAAAAACCTTACGTAACGTTCTCAAAAGACAAAAGTTTAGCTTTTGTGTCGCACTCGGAACAGAAAAAAACAGAATTATTTTAAAATCATGGAACTGTAACCCTTGTTTAAAATAATTCAGAACCAAAATCAAAATCGACTCAATATTTTAATAGTTTAAAACGTAAATTTTTGGTTTTCAGTGGTGGCGCCAGATATTTTTTTATTGAGATTTGAGAGGATAGATAGTCAGTTCTCATCATGTACTAGTTAATTACAATTTACATATTTTCTTCATTAATAATTAATAATAAAATGCAGAGTGTTGTCGTGTTGACATAATATAGGTACTTTTACAAACAAAATAAATGTGTACTTATATAAGCATAATATTTAGATTTAAAAATTAAATTCTTAATACATACCTATGAGGAAAGGATTTTTGGTATGTATATTAGGTACCTATATTAATATTACAATTATAATGATAATGTACATTTTTTAAGACTTAAAAAATTATGTCGGAAAATGTTTTGTACCTATATTGAACATCTAAGTAACCGAAAGTCCCTAAAATTGTGTGTAGTACGAAAAGTGCAGTGTGTAGTCAGTGCCGGGTTAACGAATATGCCGCCTGGGGGCAGATTTTAAAATGCCGCCCTTTACAAACCTGTACCCATCATAAAAAAAAATAACGTACATAACAACAGTGTTAAAATTGTTTAATTTATATATATTTATAAGCATATCGTAAAATCAGTAGTTTTAGTATTATAGAACTATTAGTACTAAGTATATATACATATAAACACAAGTTGAAATTTACAATTTTTTTCTAGCTTTCTGTGCAGCAAATTCTTTAACGAAGTCATTCCAATCCATATTATGTAGGACACAATTCTCAATATTGATATGATTGAATAAATTTAGTGGCAAATCAAAACCGAAAAAAACAAATAAAAACTTACATTCTGCAGATTAGCAAACTATTTAACAACAATATTTGATAAATGTCAAAATTAAAAAAAAATATTTTAAATAATCAAAGTAATAATAAAGTTATTATAGCATACATTAAAAAAAAAAAAAACTTTAAAACATTGGATTTAGATAATTGGATACAAGTATACAACAGTTAATACAAATTATTGCATAATATTATGTTAAATAATGCTGATCCGCCATTTATAGAAAATAGTCAAAAGAAAAATGTAATCTAATAAAATACAATCGTAGTCTGAAGTATTTAAAATTAATTATAAATTCGTTTTAAAAACCTTAGCATAAATATTAATCGCGACTATTCATATTTTATATTCTTCATTATTCTTTAATAAATAGGTAAGTAAACACTACTATATAATATTATTAAATACGTAAGTTCTTACCTTTTTGAATAAACTTTGAATTTTAGGCGTCTGAGAAATTATCAGTTTATCTTTTTTATTTTTTTCCTCAGCTCTTTTGCGAAATTCAGCACCACTTAAGAGGACGTCTCATCCGCATGTGTTGTCTCCGTCGTACACACATACGACATAGCAAATTTTCGTTGGCTAGTTTCAATAGGATATTGTCAGTTTTTATATTAGAGTGAATTGACCTATTATCAAACTTTTAGGTAAGAACAGTATCTGTGTTCTCTCGTTGGTTTTTTACGATATTTTAATTTTTAAGTGAGTTATGGGTATGTAAAGTATTCATATTCTAAAATGTTCATAACTCACTTAAAAATTAAAATATCGTAAAAAGCCAACGAGAGAACACAGATACTGTTCTTACCTAAAAGTTTGATAATAGGTTGATTCACTCTAATATCAAAACTGACAATACCCTATTGAAACTAGCAAACGAAAATTTGCTATGTCGTACGTGTGTAAGACGGAGACAACACATCCGGGTGAGACGTCCTCTTAACTTTATGCGTTTTCCATCATATTGATTGATGAAAAACTGCTATTAGGGAATATTAATCCCGTTTTTTCAATTTTAAATAAATATGACTTTACATTTGACGAGACTACGAGTACGTTCTACTACTACGAGACTCGAAAGACGAACAGATAACCGAACCTATAATATAGCCATACGGGTATGAAACAAACACGACTATATTTATTGCTGTAAACATATTGTGTACAATATTTCGAAAATAATACGATAATATGAACAAAAATAGAAATGTGTTGCCGCGTCGCCGCTTAGCGGTCCGAGCGCTATAATAATAATAATAATATGGTCTTTCAATTTTACTAATAATTTATAATACGCTGAACGTCCACGTAATAATTCTGAGGTAGGCGATTCGATATAAATATCTACTATAATATTACTGTTATTATTTGTTATACACATTTTTCAATGAATAATAATTCTTCCTAAAAATTAAAATACATTAGAAAAATTCAAAACTTTCGTTTTCACTGTTAAGAATTTGCCGCCCCTAAAAATTTGCCGCCCGGGGCAACTGCCCCCTTTGCCCCCCCCCCTTAACCCGGCACTGTAGTGTAGTACGAAATTTAAAAGTGTGTTATTCTAATTAAAACTTTATAATAATATTATGTATAATTTTATATCTTCACATTTTTTTTTATATTTTAATGGTTTTTTGTCAAACCACATTTTAATTATTAACACAGACACACAGTAAACAATATTTTGTGTTGTTACGTCTTATAATCTTATTATAATATTATTAATATTCATTGTTATTGAGAGTAGTTATTTTTATTATTATTAGGCATTAAGCATTAGCTTAGTAGTGAACGGTGGTATATAGTATACTGTATACCTACTATAGTGTTTATCTAGAAATTATTTAGATTTGACCGATTTAATACTATGTGTGTAGTACGAACATTTGGATATTTTAGGGACTGGACTCACTAACCGAAATCCAAACGTTAGATTTATTCATCAAGGTTACAGTTTTTACGGTTTGCAGCTTATATACCGCATCAAGTAAAATACGACAGCACAAATTGATCTGATCGTGTTTTCAGGTGACGAGGAACAAAATAATATATCCGCAGACGGTTGAAAATGACACACTTGTCAATATTGAATACTGCGCACATGGCACATAATATAGGTACGTGTGTGAATAAACAGAGATTATATTTTAATATTTCATATAGATTTGCAATATCTCACGTCCGAACGAGCAAAAATCCACGTCCTGCAATACGGGTGTTTCGTCTATT